TTTAACATTAAAATTCATAGATTCCCTTGAAATTAACTTGGCTTCTATGAGCATCGTGATTATACATGACTAAAATTATCTCATAAAATTTGTGGTTCATAGGGTTAACATAAAAACAAAGAGGAGAAGATGAAAAATTTAATCAATAAACAACAAACGAATGTTAAATAAATACATAATGATCCATCCACTACCATTGAATAAGAGAAATTAATTGAAAGAATTAGCATGTCAAAACATTGAGAGAAAAGTTCAAGATTCTATCTCATATTTCATTAATTCTATCACAGAATATAATGTGTTGAAAAATTAGAATAGAAAGGTCTCATAACTGTAAAATTTGTCTCTCTTCTAATTGATTCTATCTATTATTGAAAGTATAGTCTCTAATGAATTTCAAATCCAACTTCACTCCCTTGTGGCGTACGTCTAATAATAGTCTCTAATAAACAACATAAAAATTTATCTTATAAATGAAGAAGTTTTAACTCGAAAGGGATATGGACCTAATGTTGTTTGCTACAATACTTTAATCAAATGGTATTGCAAGAATAAAGAAGTCAACGAAGTTCTTAGTCTTTATCAAAAGAAGATTTTAGAAGGAAAGGCCTAATATGATTATAAAGCTACTGTAAAAGATGCACAGAAATTAGTTGGTGAGATGCAACTTAATGGTTTTACCTTATTCTTGGACACATAGCATTTTCATTGATGGACTTTGCAAGAATGGATGTGTTTTGGAAGAAGTGGAAATGTTTCATACTTTAGTAAATAATAAGTTTGTAGTTGACCTTGAAAGCTTGAATTCCCTCTTTGATGGATTAAGTAAAATAGGGATATCCGAAACTGCTTGGTAGCTATTTTAGAAATTTCTCTCATTGAAAGCCTAGTGCCAAACATTGTTGTTAGAAATTTTGTAACTGGTTTTAGAATTTAGTTTTGGTGGATACCATTGTTTCCAAATTTTACAAGCAATTGGGGTCATATAGAGATTACAAGGTTATAAGAATTACATTCATAACAAAAGCTCTTTACTGAGATAGGTGAATGTGCAACTATCTAATCACTTGATATGTGTTGATCATATATGTTAATGTATAGTGCACGTTGTGGATAAGCTAATGTGAACATTACAATAGTATCATAAAGTGTTAAGGACATCAAGTCAACTCTTTTGAGCTTCACTATAATTACAGAAATTCACTTAAGATTTTTATTATTTTATAAATTTGATTATTTTTACTATATTAAACCTCAAGGCTGCCAATATAACTCTATTGTATAATACAAAACTAGTAATTATATTAAACTATACATGCTATTATTTTAGTAATATAGATATTTCAGCAATATAATTAGCATGATAATCTTATTAATATGATAACGAAACATTATTCATATAACTTCTAAAAAGTAAAAAACAATATCCCTTGAATTTTTAATATATCACATTTGATTATGTGAAATATCAATTTTGGTATATTTAAAAGTTTGAAAAATAAATAAAAAAAAAATTATATATCATTGTAAATTAAATACAAAGTTCAATAGCATGATTTATTTAAATCATATAATTTTATTAAAAAAAGTTAAAAAAAATTCCAATTGAATACTTATATAAATTGGGTTGCATTTTGTTTGATTTTTGGATTTAGTAGAAAACCACCTCAAACCGAAAAACACCTGAACGTGGATTTACATTTTTAACTATCAATTTTCGAAATCATAAAGGTGGTTTGAATAGGAAAGATCGATACTTGAAATAAGTTTGCAATTTTGGAAACCTTTAAGGATGTTTGTGAAATTTGTCAAAACATTTCTCTTTAATGCATTTGCCTTTTGCAATGACGGAAAAAATGGCCCACAAAAACACTCTTCATACATGGCTTTGGGATTCAGATCACCATTTCGTTCGTCTTCAATCTCTCAAAACCCATCTTCGAAAGTTAATGTTTTATTTTTGTTAGCTCACTTACACAACCTCACATCTTCAAGCTCCAAAAATAAAGTTTCGTATTCATTCAAAAAACCCCTTGAACGATCCTCACTTGCTAAATTCCTCGAAGAAAATTGTCGATCAGGTAGCTTTACTCTGAATGAAGCATTGTACTTTTTTTGTTACATGATTAATTCGAAACCCATTTCTCCAATTTCATCATTCACTACTTTGTTTAGTGCACTAGGTAAGAAGAAGCATTATTATGAAGTGATTTCGCTATATAAGCTGTTGAATTCAACTGGGTTATCTCCAGATTTTATATCTTTGAATATGTTGATGAATTGCTTCTGTAATATTGAAAGGGTTTTTGATGGTTATGTGGTTTTTGGGGCAATTTTGAAGTTGTGTTTTAGCCCAAATACCGCGACATTTAATTGTTTGATTAAAGGTCTGTGTGTAGAGAGAAAGTTAATGGAATCAATGGAATTGTTTAAAAAAATGATTGTTGTTGGTTGTAGGCCTAATGTGATCACTTGCAACACTTTGATTGGTGGATTGTGTAAAATAGGGAAGATAAGTGTTGCCATTAAGTTGCTTGAAGAGATGGTTAACGGGAATAAAGAATCTAGTGTTATTTGTAGGCCAAATGTTGTTACTTATAGTACTATAATTAATGGCCTCTGTAAGGTTGGATTGGTTGAGAAGGCTAGACAACTATTGTTGGAACATATGATTCCAAGAGGTGTGGTTCCTAACATTTATACCTACAACATTTTAATAAACGGTTATTGCTTGGCAGATAGAATTGATGATGCAAAGGAGTTGTTTGATTCTATAACTAGAAAAAGGGTATATACCTAATATTGTTTGCTACAGTACTTTAATTAATTAGTATTGCAAGAATAAAGAAGTCAATGAAGCTCTTAGTCTTTATCGAGAGATGATTTCAGAAGGAATTAGGCCTGATGTGATTACATATAATACCTTGTTAACTGGCTTTTTTCTTATAGCTAAGGTGAAAGATACACAGAATTTAGTTGGTGAGATGTGACTTAATGATGTTTTCCCTGATTCCTGGACATATAACATTTTCATTGATGGACTTTGCAAGAATTGATGTGTTTTGGAAGCATTGGAAATGTTTAATACTCTAGTAATTAATAAGTTTGCACTTACCATTGAAGGTTTGAATTCCCTCATTGATGGATTATGTAAAACAGGGAGATTCAAAACTGCTTGGGACCTATTTCAGAAATTCTCTTCATGGAAACCTAGTGCCAAATGTTGTAACATATAGCATTTTGATCAATGGGTTGTGTAAAAATGGACAACTAGAAATGGCAAATGAGTTGTTGTTATATATGGAGGCAAAAGGTTGTGCTCCAGATGTGGTTACATTTACTATGCTTATGTTTGGTTTCCTCAAGAATAATGAGATACCAAAAGTTGTTGAACTCTTTCATAAGATGGTGGAGAAAAATGTGAAGCCGACTGAATATACAATGTCCTTAGTCATGCAGTTACTAATGAAGGCTGAAAATTATTGTGAATGTTTGAACGAGCTTCCTCAATTTACCGTCCAAAAGAAAAATAAGAGTTTGTGTGATAAAGCTTTAGTGAGTATTAGAGTTTTACGGAGCAGAGTCCTGCAAAAGTTCATCCAACTACCCAAATGCTTTGTTTTGGTTATGGTAAGAAGAAGGTTCAGCAAACACTTTCATCTTTTCAAATTTGATAGGGATGGTGATGGTGATGATTGAGAACGATGGCTTCCCTAACCAGACATACAATATGTGATCTGTCTCTATTGTAAGTGCATATAGTGGAGGTGGTAGCATTACAGGCTGTGTCAGGATTTGCACATGAAGTAGGTCTTAAGGGTTTGAGGATTATTTTTGGTGCAAATTTCAGTTAGCAAAAGTTGTATACGAGAAATTGTGGAATGGTTCTTACTTCAACTACGACAATAATGGTAGCCGCTCAAGTTCATCTATTCAAGCTGATCAGTTTACTGGAAAATGGTATGTTGCAACTGATTAACTTCATTCATTGATATTCTCAAATATCCAGGAATGATAAATCTTGATTTATTTATAGTGTTTGACATGTTTATGTTTCTCAATATATATTCTTTTTTAGTTCAAATCTGATAAGACTAGAACTTAGCAGGTGTCTCTAATGTAGTTGTGCATGAGCATGTGCTCTTTCAGCTATAGTTGACGAAGACAAAGCAAAAAGAGCATTAGAGAAGGTTTTTCTCTATAATATCCTAAAGAATATGGATACACAACGGCGGTTGATCAATGGGATCTACCTGTTGGAACAGTTGACATGACAACATTGCATTCAAGAAAAATATGGTCTGGTGTTACATATGCGGTTGCTGTAACGATGATTGTGGAGATTTGGTTGATATGGGATTTCAAATTGCCATTGAAATCTTTGAAGCAGGATGGTCTGAAAATGGACTTGGGTAAGAACCCCCTAAGTTTATCAAACGCTCTTATCTTATAGCGTAGTTAATAGGCTGTTAACTAACGTATGAGTTTGTGTTTTTTTAGATCTAAATCTATCTCAAATCTGTATAGATTTCATTGCAGCATCTGTTTTGTCAGTTCATTTATTTTTTTGGTGGATGTGTCGTTTAACCATTTCCTAGTAGATTCTTGATGTTGTGAAATGTTAGACAAAACTCCAGTAGTTATAATGTCTAGTAGATAATATTTTTGCTCCTTAGGGGATGGAGGAGGAGAAGAATAACATAGATAGATAATATAGGTTCTATAGAGGGAGATAGAGAGAAATTAATAGGTTAAGAGGAGAAATCAAGAAAGGGATACCAAGGACTGAAATACTCTATCCTAAAATGTAGAAGATAAGGACTAAATACCCATTTACACCCATCCTTTACGTCTTGCATCATCAGGTTACTACCTTTAGGACAATTTTCTACCGATTACAATTGGAAACTTTATATTCTGCATAATTTACACTGAAAATTATCTGCTTCAGAACTATTTGTTCCTGATAATTCACTAACTCATTGTTGTTTTCTACGTAGTTATTCTTTCTAAACTCTTGAAGCTTGGACCACTGTTGATTGTTTTAGAGTGCTAAGTTACATGCATTCTTTGGCCGTATGGGCAATGGGTTCTTACAAGGCCAAAACCTTGTAAGAATGGAATGAAACCATCAATAAATGAAGAATGTTTGTATATATATCATGCAAGATTCTGCAAAGTTGCTCGCCTTCTAAAGGTATCAGATGAGAAAACGCTTATAGGTCTTTTAAGGTCACTCTTGTATTACACTTGCAAGAAGATGTTTCCATAATTGATTGGTTCTTGTTACTTATTACCGTCATGCAATTTTATGTATACTAATGAGTTGTATTTTAAAAGAAAACATTTGAAATGCTTATTGTAAATTATATTATTTTACTATTAGTTATCTGATTCTTGTAACTATTTTCAGAATTTAGTTTTGATGGGTACCATTGTTTCCAAATTTTGCAAGCAATAAGGGTTATAACAGAGATTACAATGTTATAGGAACCAGAAAGCACATTTAACAAAAATTCTTGACTTAGATGGGTGTCTGTAGGAGCGGATCCAGGAATTTTTGTTAGGGTGGACCAAATGAAAACTAATTATGCATAACATTCATATTCTATCTTTCTAGTCAAAATTGTCACAAAAAGAAAAAAAAAATTATATTTACTATTGTCCTCTGCGGGGCTTTATATTGAGGAATCGTTGCATCGCCATCTCCTTATCAACATTGTCAAATATATCTTTCTCAACATATGGAATTAGGGTATCATTCAAGAATTGATCTCCCATCCCATTACGTAAATGAGTCTTCACAATTTTCGTAGCAAAAAATGCCCTTTTTACACTTGCAGTTGCAACTGGTAAGGTTAAGGCCAATATGATGAGCAAATATACCAATGAGAAAATAAGATGCTTCTTCTTTTCAACCATTTTATAAGCAAGACTAGTAATATCATTTAGTTCTAAAAAATCACTGTCCAAGCGCATATCATCAATGTAATTATCAAGTTGAAGTTCAAGTGCCATAAGATCAGTAGAAGAAAATTCTAGTGGATAAAATTGAGCAAAACAAACTAATTTTCCCTTATCAAATGCTTGAAAGCAATCACTTGGATTTAGGGAGGCCATGCAAATAAGTAATTTTGTATTACCTTCATTGAAACGATTGTTAAGCTCTGATAGTTGCAAATCTATTATGGCATAGACCAACTCGACACGATAATGAAATAAATTTGTCATCCCTTGAACATTAATGCAACAAATTTCTCTTCCATATTTGGCACATTTATATTATGAGCAATGCAAAAATGTGAAACTTCATCAAGTAGATTATCCCATCCATTATTTTTTATCAACAATAATCTTCTTTTCGACAAGTGAACCAAAGACATGGCATTTATAATATCTTGATCCTTCCTTTGCAATGCTTGTGAAAGTTCAAATGTGATTCCTAAAATGTTTTTCATCATGTGTAGGTTAAAAGCAAAATCAAAAGAAGTCATATAATCCACCAAATCACTTGCTTCAACTCTATTATCAGAATTTTCAGTAAGATCCTCAAGCACTTCAATAACAGATGAAAAGAAATTAATCAAGTGCAATAAAGTCACTTCAAAGCTTGTTTCTCATTAAGAAGATCCTGACGTCTAGGTGACCATCCAACAATATTTATCACACAAGAAACTTTCAAAAAAAGTCTCTCAATATTTGTATCCTTTTTTGGCACAGCTACAAGTGCCAATTGAAGTTGGTGAGCAAAACAATGAACATAGAAGGCATATTCATTATCTTTTAATATAAGTGATTTTAACCCATTAAATTGACCTCGCATATTACTTGCACCATCATAACCTTGTCCACATAATCTTGATATACTGAAATTGTATTTAAAGAACAATGTTTCGATTCCCATCTTTAGTGACAAATCAGTCATATCTATGACATGAATAATGCTCAATAGACACTCAACAACACATCTTCTTTTATTTACATAACGTAAGATAATTGCCATCTGCTCTTTGTTGGATCCATCACCATTATGCTCTTTGTTTGATCCATCACGAGCTTCATCAACTAATATAGAAAAAAAAAAAGCATCTCCAATATCACTAATTAGTTTGTTGATGGTTTCAACTGCAAATGCATTGATTATGTCTTTTTGGATACTAGGAGCAATCAATTTATCATGTCTAGGAGCATTCTCCAATGCTACTAATCTACATTCTTCATTTTGCTTAGTTGTATAGTGTAAAAGTTCAAGAAAGTTTCGCCGATTCATTGAATTATCAGACTTATCATGGCCACGAAAAGGCAATCCTTGCCGAAGAAGAAGCCGACTAGCAAAAATTGATCCTTTCAACTGAATACGATAATCTTCTCGCTGTTGGTTAGATTTCTTATTAATAATTGTACTCACATGCTGTTTTTGGTTCATCAAAGCTTGACAATTTTTCAAAGCTTGGTTATGATAGCTGTTAGGACCTCCAATATGATACTTAATTTTTTTCAAGTCTCTTCCAATTGCGAAACCCATCAAGAACAAAAGAATCACCGCCACTTTGCTCACCTTTATCTGATTTGAAAAGATAACAACATAAACAATATGCAGCATCATTCTCAACACTATTTTCCAACCAGTAAGGATATTTGTCAAGCCAAGAACGTTGGAAACTCTGTTCATGATCACCAGATTTTGATTTGGGAAACTTGTGGTTGTGAGGTTGACAAGGACCCTTTTGTAAATAAAGCATTCTGACTTGGTCTCGAACATTAGGATGATAAAACTAATTCTTGGTCGAATTCCAGGATCAAAAGGAAGACTTTCCAAGTCAACTTCGAAGCAATTTTTCTTTGAAGAAGGTTGGTTTTCATTATCATTAACACCAGAACAAAGTTAAGATGTCTTAGCAATTGACTTTCTTTTAAAATATTTTTCCATATCTAAATACAAAGAAATAAATTAACTCACAAATTGAATTCTATAATAACTATAAAAATTCTAAATTTTCCAACTTAAAGTTTTTCAATCATCAACTTAAAGTCTTAAAGACTTAAACAATATATAAAAACAAAAGCCTCCTTGGTTTTATCTATATTTCTATTTCTATTATCTATATATTATTTTTCTTAGAAATTTTGGGACCACAAAACAATCATTTACCTATCACAAAATATTGGAATATAAAAACTTTCCCTTTTTTCCTAAAAGTTTTCTTAATAAAAAATTCAATGCACAATGTTATTATGCTAATACACACTACACAAATAAAAGAAAAGCATTATACACAAAAAAAAAAAAAAAAAAAAAAAGGAGTACTAACCAGAGAGAAAATAGCTGATTAAATTTTATTGAAGTATGAAATATGAAGAATTAGAGAGAGCAGCAGAGGAACTGTGCAAAAGCGTGAGGGACTGCCTGACTGAGGGTTTGCAAATTGTAACAGTAGAGTAAGGTTTTACTTTTAAAAATTTTATTAAAAAATTGAAGGTGGGCGGTGGGCCAAAGTCAAATAAAATAGAATAACATATTTAATTTTTTTTTTTTTAAATTGAGGGTGGACCATGGCCCACCATTAACACACTCTAGATCCGCCCTTGGGTGTATGTTTGACTGTTTAACGACTTGATATGTCAACACTAAATATGTGCTGGTCATATATGTTAATGTATCAGTTAACATATATGATCAGTTAGTTCAATATCAGTTACTAGTTTTATAGTATCATATCAATTTTCTGTTTTACAATATTAGAACAATTATTAGTTTGTGGTATCAGATCATTTATCAATTATTAGTTTTAATGTATCATAAATGAACTAACAAAGTAAACAGTTATTAATAATAGTTTTAGTACCATATATTAGACATTAAAAATACAAAATCATAGAAAATATATAATATATCTCTAATTTATTAATATCAGTTTATAAGAAATAATTCAAATAATTGTACCATAATTGCATAGACATTATTTTCAAAAAAATATAAGTAAAGAAAAAATGTTTTACAAAATCATCTATTCAGTGAGTATTTTTAGGTCATCACAGGATCGTGCTAAACAATGATTTTCATTCAAGGTTGGGTTCACACGACAGTTTCATTTTGCATGTCATGCCACATGTAATGATGTAAACTGCATAGGATTATCACCCATAGACTTATTATATGCATATTTCCATTTGAATTTATGATTTGTACCATTTTGTTTTTAGAAAAATGATTTGGCACAAAAGAGTTTTCTTTCAAAGAAAAATATGAAATACTATAATAAAATGAATAATTATAACATAAAAGAAACATCTATTTACCTTTTGTCTTGTTTCTATTTTTGTTATTATATATTTGTCAAGAAAAAATAAGTCCTAATTAATAAATATATTTTTTAAATAATTAGACAATTTGTGGTTTACTAGCCAATCACCTTTGAGGTCTAGAAACTAACAATTCTTCCGCTAATGGAGTTTTGTTCCAATTAATGGTGGTGCAAAGGATTAGAAAGACATTTTTAATAGAGGGTTAGCCTTTTTTACATCCGAGAAATACAACAATACCAAAATAAGTTGTCTTCTTTTCAAAATGGATACTATGTAAGATAATTTTCCTGATAAATTTAAGATCTTAATTTAGTTTATTTTCTTATTTTATTTTACTTGTTTTCTCTATTTGTTTTTCCTTATGTTATGCTAAAGGAAAATAGGACTAACTAATTTTATTACTATAAGGAGGTTATTACTTAATAGAGGTGTAGTTACAAAAAATTTTTATTTTACAATTCATGTTTTAGTAGTACAGTATCATGATTTAAATTCATGTTTTAATAGTATTATGATTTCAAATACAGCACTTCAATTGTCTACTTTTGAAACAGATAGAAGATCATGTCTTGAAACTAACAAATATAAGTGTCCTTGATGAAATTTAAATGTAGTTGCTGCATGGTCAGTTGATGTGAAACCACAGACAATTGTTAATTGTTTTAAACATTGCAAGATTAGGACCCTTGATGTCGATGAATTGCAAGTTACAAATTAAGTGGAGAAGGAGAATTAAAGAGTCATAGTAGAATTGAGTGATTATATTCAATAACTTCACTACACTAATCAAATGGATATTAATATCTTTCTCAATCATCTAAATGAACAAGTCATACATGCTTTATTTGAAGGAGAAATCATTTCTACAATTAGACAAGAATAGAAAGGACAT